CAATTTACTATCCAATGACACTCAGATTAAAGCACATGATATTCTCTTATACAAGTAACTCTTCTAGTCAATAACAATTTGGAAGCTGTTAAGAGGTTTAGTTTTGCTCTCTTCTTTATTAGGCTATACTTAGTTTAGGTTTTACTAGAGTAGGATGTTGGTTTTAACATAAAATCTGCACTAAGTAAATTAAATGACATTATGAACTTGTCCCACATCAGGAATGACTTTAGAGTTTTTAAGCTTGTAAAAGTTGATTTTGGATTTCACATAACCTACCTCTAATCGTGCACGTTCTTACTCTTAGAATTGAGGAATGCGATACAACAATGAATTTGTATTTATTTAATTTATGGTCAGATTTCAAGAAACTCGCCTTTTTAACTTATCAATTATCATCCCTATAACTAGAGCAGAAGTTCATTTGATTTGCTTTCTATTTTGCTTTTGCTTATCAAATTATCAGTTACCTTATTGATCATTAAATTCTTTAATTTTTTGTAAGGATAATAAAGATAGTCTTTATAAAGCTAGATATATGATTATGGATAAAGGGTGCCATCTAAATTCTTAATATTGAAAAATAATATAGAATTTAATAATCAATAAAGATATAAAAAATAAAAATTGAGATAAAATGATTATATAAAAATAACCAGACATATTATTAATCAATAAAAGTTTCCCGAGTACATGAGAGAATAATTTCTTTACGAAATGGTTTGACACAAATGGGTCTTAATACATTCATATGTGCACTCCCCAGTTTGAGCATCAGATTTCTAGCCCAGTCCAGCCCAGCCCAGCCCAGCCCACTGCTTATACATATGCATATACATATACATATATCTACACACACACACACATAGTTACTATATGAAGGAATATTAATGGTATGTGCTAAATTGCTTTCATTTAATATGGTTTGATTATTAATTGAAAGTGTCGGTAAGGCAGCCTTTTCCTTTCTTTCAATTTGACTCGAGAGATCATGGATTGTCTATTAAAATCATCACGTACTCATTTCCACACCGCCCTACTCTTTGAAAATTTTCCATTCATTTATTATTACAACATAAATTTCTTCACAAATATTCTCAACTTGCACACTTAATTAAATTTCAAATTTATATTTTTTTAATAATTAATTTCAGAAAAAAACTAAAATAATATATATTATAATTTAAACTCAATTATATTATATATAGCTGTGGAAATTATTATGAAAATTATTATTAGCCCCTGTTGTTTTATAATAATACAATTAAATGTAATTAAATATTAGAATAAGGTGTTATTTTCTTGGGGGTCCAGAGAATCTGTCAAAACGACCGTACATCTTTTGCTCAACTATTATTTTCCTCTTATGATACTTAACTAACCTTGGACTTCTTGCACGCAATAATTTTGAGCCACCTTTCAATATATATATATATATATATATATATAACTCATTATAATATAAGAAGCTGTACATTAAGCATCATGTATATATGAAGCGTATTTGTGAGTGTATATTTAGGCACGTATAATTGAGTTGTATATTAATATATGTACATGTGTATATATATCCAGAACTTATTGACTGTTTGGTCCAATTTTTTTTTTTTTTTTTTTGGTCTAAAAAAGTAGCAGTTTGACCGAGGATCATAACAGAAGTATTATAAAACAAAAGTTAAATTTATTTTTGACTCTAAATAAAAATATAGTTAAAAGCTAAGATAATATGTTTTCTTAATTATTTTAATATTAACTATTAATTTTTATAATATAATTAATTAAATATAATGTCATATTTTATTTTAAAAATAAGCTCCATTAATAGGTTATCCCAACTAAACAAATTCTTGATATCCTACTATTTGTTGGTTTATAATTATTTGATAGATGAATAATCTAAACTAAGTACTTCAAGTTGATTCTTGGAGCTTAATAAATTAATTAGCTCATATATATATATATATATATATATATATATATATTTTAATGCTGAGTTCCAACGTTCTAGAGAGGATATATTTGTAATAATATATACACATACGCATACACAACAATAAAAAAATTTTGGGACTTAATTATATATGTATATTAAACTAACTATAATCTCATTTGTCATTAAGCTTGTCTTTTCTAAAACTTTAATTTCTTGATCTTATCCATATCATTACAAACAAATTGTAATCATGCATGATCTCTGATGAAGTGATATGTTGCATCACTTCGATCATCGTTATAATTTCTATCCACATATTTCGCTAGCACTCAATCATATATACATACATGTATATATATATATAATATTAACTTAATCAGTTGGACATATCCAAAATATATAATATGATATTAATACATCCATTTTGTCAAAAGTATAATGCCATGATGATAAAGCTTAATTGTCTATATTTATAACACCTTGTTAGTGAATAATATAGTAGTACTTTAAATTTACAAGTTTAAAAAAATTACAAGATTGTTAATTTATAACACCTTGTTAAATAGGTAAACACTAATTTTGGAATAAATAGATGATGGTTTCAAATAAGTTATATAAGTCAAAAACATTTACTAACTTACTTAACAATTTAATATATGATTTACATATTTTGTTGCAAAGAAGAAAATTCCTCCTCCTAACTAGAACTCAATTTCATGCCCTACTTTTGTAACATGCTCTGCTTCAAATCTCTACTTTGGCTCAATTTCTATTTTTTTTAGCACAATTATACCACTAAGTTCCCACCTAACTTATGTTCATGATATCACTTGATCTCCAATCTTGGTTGTGATTAATTTAAAATTGTAGTAAATATATATTACATAAAGTTTAATTATTACACCGTAAATAGTGGCATATATATGCTTGAAAGTACGAAAAAAAGAATTTAGAAATTTTCAAGTTCTCTCCTATTTCTTTTATCTTTAAAAATAGGATTCGGTAACTCATGGTGGTTTACTACCGTCTTCTTTTCTGGTTTCTTTATAGAGCTCATGGTGATTCAATAAAGGCCGACTTCTTTTTTTTTTTTTTTTTTTCTTTTGTAGTTTAGAAGAACAATAAACTTTCAACGCTTGAAAGATTTACTATCCAAAATTTCTTTTGATATTCAGCTGTTTTAATTCCTATTTAATTTGTGTGAAGAAAAAGATACTAGAATCTTGGGAAAAGAAAGTATCCTTATAATTTTGAATTTGAAGTTTATTTAAGGTACTAAATCATCTTGTGTGGACTTAGTTCTTTACTTACTTTCTACTTTAACAAGTTTATTTGCTGGAAAGTATTTGAGAAACATAAAAGTCATGGCCAATACATAATAAGGCTGCAAGGCATTTGGCTATCCAGATGTCAAAAAGTGACGAAGGAGATTTATGTTGGATAAATATACTAATCATAATATAATACAATAGAAATACTTTCAAACAAGACATATATAAAAACACCGTACAACTCGAACTTAAAATCTCTAATGATAGCTATATTATTTTATTTATGAAAGAAAACATACATATTTCTCCACATGTATATAATGATATTTTTTTAACACTATAATTAATGCATTTAATTTTACTTATTATATCTTAAATATATACTTTCAATTCTATCCATCTAATTTACTCTCTAAATTTAGAAAAAAATAAGATTGATTATATTGTTATCTTTTTCCTAATTTCTTCACATTTACTGCTTTTTTTTTCATTGATTATTATCTTGTTTTTTTTGTCTGTATAGAATTTTTAACATGTATGTAATTATTAAAAAAAACATAAGGGGCTAGAAAGCCAGAAGATAAAAAGGTGGTATTACATATTCTAAGAACTTTCTCGTGCTTTGAATTGTTTTTATAATGAAATACAATGTAAATGCGTTGCGAAGTTGTTGGTCAAAAATTGTATGCATGTGATAAGCATCATGCCTAGACATTTTGGTACGTAATAAAAAAAGATCCTTCAAATTGTCGGCCAAGAGGACCCCCATGCATTCATTCACGTAGGTCATGGCCGGCATTCAGCAAAATTCCAACCCTAGCTTTCGTCTCCCTTCACCATCTCCTTTGTTTATTCCACAAAAGACAATTTTTGTTATTGTTTATGAAAAAAATATGGCTTTGATAGCTACCTTCTACCAAATTAAATGTGTCAATTGAAAATGATTTATCTAAGTCCCTTTATATTCATATTTATATGCGGGTATATGATAATTAGGAATTAATTATACATATCACCTACGTATATGATGTTGAATAATTATAAAATATTCTAAAAATACGGTTGAATTGACAGAACTAGTAAATATAATTCATATATTTAAAATTTTGTTTTTATATTTTTTAAACATAAATTTAAAATCAATTTATTTTATTTATGGAATTATCATCTCGTCTTACCATATAGCAATGCACTACAAATCACATGCACCCATATGATAATTAACAAAAGTTTCCCACGTAAGAACTCTACTAATTAAAGATGTAATAATAAATAAAAAATTAATTAACTTATTCAAAAAAGAAAATTTTCTTAAATGAGGTTTAACTATACATGTGAGTTGTAATTAGTTCTGTAAAATTTGTTTATATGTATCTTAATCAAACTAGGTCAGACTTGATCATGCAAACATGTATTTCTACGTTGAGAAAATTATGAAAGAAAAATCAAAGAATTTCTCAGTTTATGATTTTAAAAGCACAAGTTTAATATAAATAATTATACTTTTGTTGTATAATCATCCCCATGAGATTTAGTTTTAAACAAAACTCAGGGAATTATAAATTTAATTATTTTTCAAGGTATATAATTATTATATGCAATAATCATCCGACCATAAAAATTCACTACCAGAAAATTTGTTTTTTCCAATGAAATTAGTATAATATATTTTATTTCAAAAATATCTATTTTTTGTAGCTTTCTTTTAAATTTTTGTTATAATTCTAAATTTTACTTATTTTTTAGTAACAGTTGAACTTTTCTATTTTAAAAAAATATATTTTTATGATAAATTAAACCATATAATAGTCATTGCAAAAAGTATATTTTCTTGACTAATCAAAACATTTGTTTTCAAAAGTATATTTTTCATAAGGAATGACAATAATATTCATTGTACAAATTACAGAAGAAATATTATACTTTTTATGCAACCCTATTATTAATTTTTTGTCTAAGAATATCACTTTCCAACTTTTAATTAATCATTGTGAAAATTTTTAACATTTAAAAGAATCTTAATATAACGACTCTTAAACTTGAAAAGAAATAAATTATAATTTAGTGTGGAAGAGAAACAATAAATTAGGGTTTACATTCCTTACACAATAATTCAGAATATATAATAGAGTTACGGAAATTACCATTCTAAAAAAACAACTAATAATAAAAAAAAAAAGTGAACGTTCTACTTGCAACCCTTTTGTGGATCGGACTCTGGATCTTGATTTTCTTAATATGAAATGGTTAATAAAGGAGTGAACTACACTACCTTAGTAAGAATATCACATTACTCACCGACCCAGAAATAAATGTTGGTAGAAATCATAAAAATAACTAATAAAACTCTTAATTTAAGTAAATTCATTTACCGAATATTTACCGTAGTGAGATTTCAAAAAAAAAAAACTAACTTACAGAGTTAATAACATAAACGATATCATAAACTTATATGCAATCAGTCGGAACAACAACTTTCTTTTTTATCAACCTACTAGTATCCATGGGGATCCATAGGGATATCCCTATTACGCGTGAACCCTTATTCAACATTTTTAATTAACAGGCTGTCGTCATACCCCATCCGGTATGAGTGTCAAAAGATACTATCTCTCAATACCCCGTCTGGTATGAGGGTGAAACGAACCGTCCCCATACTCCGTTCAGTATGGGCGCTAAATTACCAATTCTCGATACCTAATCCGGTATGAGATAATGTTCACAGTAGGATTTTCGATTCACTCGGTCTATCTATTATCTCTCAGGATATTCAGTAAGACTATCATTCATCCCTCCACTTAATCAAACAATTTTTTGTTATCTTTAATTTCTAGTTTTCCAATTTAACCGTAATCACATAAAACAAGCAATACATGCATTAAAGAAACACAATTGTATCATCATACTAATTCCAGTGCATTATCATGCATTCGAAACTGTAAAATCAGACAATCAGTTAAATATAGCAAACAGTAATAAATAACAAGTTCTGCATCCATTAATAACCTATAATTAATTATAAATATTTTTAAGTTTTACAAAATAACATATTATTTAAAATTAAACTTTAATTCCATAACAGAGAATAAGCTGAGAGATTCTTACTCGAATTGGTGTCCGAATGCTAAGCTTTTAACTGTATCTACTGGCGGTCGAGAATTTCGAGCACCTAAAAATATCCCAAAAAAATTCAAAATAAGTGTTGAAAATCTTTTTTGGCAAATTCTAGAATTTCGACACGGTGGCTCTGCCATGCTTCGGCGACGACACCATCGCCTGTGGCAGAAGTTTTCCTCGGGTTGGCTATTTTTGGTTGTTTTCGGTTGATTTAGGCCGGTTTTGTATCCATCTATATGAAAAAATATGTTAAGGGGTCTCGGTTGGCTGATAAAAGTCGAAAAATCAAAGCTTACCGACGACGGAATTTTCTGGCGCGGTGGCTTTGTCGGCTCACCTTCGCGGTTGGGTGTTTTGTTTCAGTCAACCTGTAGAGAAATGAATGACAATTACAATAGTGGAAAAATTACATGAAATGGGAATCGGGAAGGGTCTCATCGGAGGTGATTTTTTATTTTTTTCAAGTAGCGCCGCTGGGCTTTACCTGCAGTTTTCGCGTCATCTGATGACAATTTGCTCCGATGTGGCCACGGGGATGTTCAAAAATTTAATTTGGAATGAATAAATTGTTTTTTGCATCTTTTGGCGGTCGGAAGTGGCTTCGACACGCCGGTGCGCGCGCGGCTCCTTTCCCGGCGACTGGCTCTTCTTCTCCGACGGGGGGCCCCGGGGGGGGGGGGGGGGGGGGTTGGGTGGGTTTGGGTTAGGAGTTGGTGTGAAGATGAGTATTTATATCCGTTCTCTTTTAATGTAGGTCGTCCATCGCGTTTGATCTGGATCGTCCGATCACGTTTGATCTGAACCGTTCATTGTTATTTGATCTGAGTCGTTCGATCGCGTTTAAATAAGAAATGAATGTGGACCGTCCATCGCGTTTATTCGCAACCGTCTGATTGTGTTTGAGGAGAAAATTGATCTGGACCATCCGTGCGCGCAGGAACAAATCCAGACCATCTGATCGTAGACACGCAGATCACTAGTGTTGCCGCCTTACCGCGCCGCACGCTCCAATTCGTCAGGACTGCTGACTGGGCGTCCACGTGGCACAGTTTTCTTAAATTACGTTTTGACCCACATTTTCTGATTTTTCTTTTAAAAATATTTACAGAACCTAAATTTTCACTCATTTCTCCTAAAATTATTTTCAATTTTATCATCCTCTTATTTTTTCCTAATTTTATATTAAATAATAATTTATAAAATTAAAAATTAAATTTTATACATTAAATAAAAATTTAAAAATTCAAAAACTACATTTATATATTAATTTTAAACATATTAAAATTAATTAAGAGTATTACACTCAATATTGCAAAAAAAGTATATTATATCTGTGCAAGAAAATCAAGTCGCTGCTATAAAATTTGAGTTTTTAGTTGCAGTAAGTGTCAATATCTATATATATACATATAATTACTACATATGTATATATCAAACGTATGTAGCAATTATATATATATAGGTTAAAATTAATTGACAGGATAAAGTTAATATTACGTATGTATATAGCAAACACATAATTAATTCAATTTAATTTAATAACCTATATATATATATAAAATAACTTGTTGTTGATCACTTCAAAATTCAAATCTTAATTGTTTGTCTTCACGCAGTGATCAGTGATTAATCAGGTCAGTAGACAGAGTTCGTGCGCCGCTTGATTATCTTCTCATGCATGCTTATACGCAACCATGGTTTCCTATAAAGGGGGCCCTTGTGATCCCCTCAATCAACTTTGCCGGCCACAAAACCTGAAATTAACCCCTAAATTAGTTAATTCATTGTTTAGGAGCCGTGTTAGTTTTTAGCCTTCAGAACTTCAATTTGATTTTGTTGTAAGAAATTAGATAATATAGGAGAATAAAATTTTAAATGTACAAAATTAATGTCGTAAAATACAATCATAAAATCACTTATGAATACAATCATAATATTCAATTAATAATGCTAACGATCCTTTTGACTATCGACTAAAAATAATTAAGCTCCAAAAGCGCAGGTTTTTGTGTGAAAATTATTGAAATACTAGAACATTTATATGATGTTTGGTATGCTCCCAAGACAAAATGTAAGTCCTTTCTCTAATGAGGAGTTCGGACAATATAGATCACATTTTCATCCAATGCAAGAAATATGGCTCGTGTGGCTAACGGACAAAAATAACGAGATCATGAATACTCTATTTTATGTGATTGTGTGATTCCTATGGTTGGTCATCAATAAGAGGGTCATTAACAATAAAGTGTTTGAGTATGGATAGGATTCCAAATCTAGTACGCACGAGGTTGGTTTGATGAGTTAAGGCTCTTCAAAAGTACTATGGTAGATATTCAATCAATTAGATGCTTTTATCCCTTTTAGTGGTTAGGCTGATTGACTTAGCAAAACCAACTTGGAGTATATGGATTGGATCCCATCAGGACAAGAAGAATTAAAGTTTAAAGTGGAAACCTCAGCTTGGAATAAGCCATATCTTACGATGATTGTTCGAGGGTTAACAGACATGATCTTATGTAGAAGTAAAATCTTTATAAATTTAGCTAATCATTAGCAATGTGATGGAGCTTTTAAAACTAAAAGAATGTAATTAAAATTGTATCCTTTGGTGCCCTTGATAGTGAGATTAGGTTAAAAATAAAGAGCAACTCTTTGGTTGTAGCATTCTAGGTGCTCAGTAATATAATCCCTTAGAAGTTAAACTATGTAGCGAATGTTATCTCTAATGGGCTGCATAATTTGAATTGCATGAACTTTGCTCATGTGAATATGGAAGGAATTCCATGGAAGATGTGTTCGCTAGACTGGAGTCAATAAAAAGAAGGATTTCTTCCTTAGTCATGAGGTTGTGTTTGTTGAGGTGTTCTAATACTTGCTGATGGTGATAAATAGAGCTTTGCAATGATGTCTTAATTGGTAATTCTATTTTAAAAATTGTTGTTTTAATTTTTATTAGGGCCTTGTAATCATTTTTTAGATCAAGTGGTATAACGTTTTGAACAAAATATCCTACTTTACAATCGTTCACATAGTCATCTGTAAGTATTAGATGGTTAGATCAGGGAGTGCACGTTCATTTACTTTAGTTTTTGGTTAATTTATTTTGGTTTTGTATTTTTGATGAAGTAGACATAGAGGTACATTTTAGGGAACTTATTTTTGCTTATCAAGTGTTTATAATACATGAATGACTAATTGGTATGAATATACTTGATAATGGTGTAAGGTTGAGATTTGAAGACATATAGCATGGAATATATGGATCAGAATTGCATAGTTAATGTGGATAGTTAAAAAGAAAGAAAAATAATAAGGACATTTGATGGTTAGTTTGTGCCTTGACAAAGATGTGAGGAGGCCATATACTTCAAAGAGAAAAAGATCTTTACGTATTCAAGAAGAGCTTAGGTTTTGTTTTGTGAAAACAACTTAAAATGATTAACTTATTGTCTCTGTGCTTTACAAAGACTTATCTAGTTGTGCTTTAGTTTTATTCCACTATTTCAACTTGACGGATTAATGTAAATTGGCTAATGTGTTTCTTTTATTTTATCATTGATGTTTGAATCTCACATGTAAGGAAGACATTCATGAAATCATGAGCATGCTTTTTTGGGATGAAGTTTCTTTTTATGATGAGGTTTATTGCATGTGGAAGTTATGTATATGAGCATCTGTTGCTATACTTTGATAAACCTAATGAGCTACTCCTTATAACATTAATATGTAAAGCTCACAAGCTAATGATCAAAATATTCTATTGATAGTTAAGTTGCAATTTATGTGTTCCAAGTTGTATTTGTAATTTTATGCCTCAGTAATACATGCTCCAAGCTTCTTTTCAGATGCTGAAGAACATTTTTGGGGAACATATTAACCAAACAATGAGTGGGATTTGTCTAAGGTTATTGTACCAGATTTTGTATACATGTTGATGTATACTATTATTTCAAATCCTATGCCTTGTATATTTCATTATAAGCAAGTATCTGTGTGTCTTTAATTGTATTATATGGCTTTGGGTACTTAGAATTTCCTTTAGATGGTTTTGTAATAGTTTATTTTCAATTAGTAAAACTTATATTTACTTTTAAAATACATGTTAATGTTAGCATATCAACTAGCATATAACCCTGTTAAAGATATCATTTATACCATGTTATCATTGGAGTATTGTGATCATTAAAATAAATAATTAGTAAATATTTAAAATACTTATTCTTACATTTTCAAGTCTGACTAACTTAGTTTACATGTCTCTTGCCGCATATTAGCTCTAATTGTTCGCTTATATTCATTATCTCTCATGCTAAGTGTCATTTTGCCTCATGCTTCTATAGAATTCTAAAATAAACGAAGTATTTAAAAGAATATTCTTTAATTTTATAGAGTATTATCCCACAAGGCTTTTTCTTTCTTCATGTAGAAAAAAACTTTCAGAAAAAATATTCAGATTTAATAAAATATCAATAATAATTCTTTTTTTTTTTTTTACTTTTTCTTGTCTTTACTGCTCAACCTTACTGGATGGTAAAAATTATCTGCAAATGAAAAACGGACAAAAAACCTAAGATTCAATCTTGTGTAGTCAAACATATCTGACTATCTAGGATGCTTAGACATTTGTACCCCCTAAGGGCAGTTGAACTTTAGTGGACAAACTTATCCACCCACTAAACGCAATCAAATATATCAACCTACTAGAGACAAATAAACTTCTCCATCCTTAGTTAAACTTAGACAATCAAACATTTTTATGAACTATGATGGTTGTGCCTATCAACCTATCAAGGACAATCAAACCTATTACTAAAAAAATAGTGGTTAAACTTATCCTTCGATTAGAGAAGTCAAACTTAAATGATCAAAGTTATTGTCGACCAAGGACAATTGAACTAGGGTGATCAACTTAGGTGGTTAAACTTGTTCGTTAGCCAAGGGAGGTAAAACCTCTTTTCCCACTAGGGATGATATGACATGTTCACCCATTAAGGTTGGTCAAGAATGTGAACCTATCAAGGGTAGTTAAGCCTTTATGGTCACTAAAGGAGGTTCAAACTTGTCGACCGCACATGGGGTGAACATGTCAATGTACATATATATATATATATATGTTGGAGATTTGACAACTTCTATGAAAGGAATGGTGTGGGTACACTTGAGATATTTTATGTTTATGCATTAAAGTCCTGTTAAAGCTCTGTAAAAGTTTTATCAAGCTCAACTTGCTTTCGCCTCTTGTCTTCATATCAAATCCTACACCTTGGTGCATTATCCATGTTTTCATCATTAGATAAACCCCTAAATTAGCTTTTCCATACCATGATAAATGCCTTTAACAGAGTTTAACCATATGAATGACAAGTTCGAGGTGAGTTTTAGTAACATGAACCTGTCCCTCAATTTGAATCGTAAAAGATGAACTTTTCCTGAATCATATATGAGTTTCAATAATTTGAAATTTTTTTTGATTGTTTATGTTTTTTTCTATAAAACTCAAAATAGTATAATTCAAGCCAACATATCTCGTTTCATTTTCTCATTTTATTACCTTATCGATCTCTTTTTTTGTTTTGTTATACTTTCACAATTATTGACTGCAACAACTTA